CCCTGTTTGAAAAGTAATACTGTCTAAACTGTAGAGGACTCGTACGTTGCCAAAATTTGAATTTATGACCTTTTGTCCTATCGTTTTCACTGCTAAGCGCGAAAAGTTTGATGGATCTATATTATAAATACCCTTAAACACCTCTGACCCTTCTTCTCTCCAGATAAAATAAGTTTAGAGATGTTAGTCTTTCCTCATAGGACAATCATATCATCCCAGGTATCATCCTAGTGGCTCTTCTCTGAGTCTTCTCCAAGAACAGAGGACCACAAACGATTATGAAAAGATGAAATTAGCTGGTACCAATTTGCAAGATATTGTTGTAAGCCGTATTTTAAAAGTTTTAATTCGGGCGTTTTATACTGTTTGCTAGAGGGAGTTTTGATATGACGTAGTGATGATGTGTGATGCCTAGTAATTTCCTGAGTTATAGATTTGACGTGATGTCTCGAATTGTCCTGAGATTTGGGGAAATACAAATACTGTAGTACAAAAATACCAGTAGTCAATGAGAAAGTTAGTTAGTGAGTTAGTATAGTATTATTTATGAGCTAGGCCTTACACTTGGTTATTGTTAGTGCGTGAAACCATATAAGTTATAAAACTTCAGTTGAAGAAATAAAACGCTTTCCTGTTCGTTAAGTGGACTGAACTTTGCAATATTTTTAACGGATGATAAAAAAAACCGCTCAACGATTTGTTTGGTTACAGTGAAGCACAGAGCTACACAATGGGATATCTCTGCTGCGCCCACCACGGGTATCGAAACCCGGTTTATAGCGTTATATGCCTGGCCTAAACTCATTGTTAATACATGTGAATAAAATTTTGGTTTACTGTGAAAAATAACCAAGGGTTATTGTTGTTTTTCTTCTTAGTGCAAAGCTATACAATAGACTATTTTGCATTCTACATACCGCTGACTCGAACCCCGGATTTTAGCTTTTTAAGTCCGTATATACTTCTAACCCACCAGGGAGGGGGGGGATAATATCCAAGGGAGATTCATATTTAATTTTACCATTTTAATGACCAGAAAACTTATATAAGACAGATATAACAATGAAAAATAACGCGTGTAACATATAATTGTCAAATAAATATTAAATAACAGTTAATAAAGTTGTCATTTAATAATATAACTAAAAAGGAAATTGTTATCCGTGGAGTTATCTCCAAACACATTCTTCAACAACATTCGTTAATTTCTTTTGGTTGGTTGAAGTTAAGCACAAAACTACACAATGGGCTATCTGTGCTCTGCCCACCATCCGGTTTCTAGCATTGTAAGTCTGCAGACATACCGCCGTGCCACTGGGGGAGCTTTTTTTTTTTTGATATTCCTTCATCCCAGAGCTTGGCAAGAGACCCCTCAATACTTTTTTTAGGTTCTAAACGCAGAAATACTGGAAACAAAAATTCTCCCTTAATCACGCAAGTCGTTTCTAACAAAATATTTAATGAACAAAAACTTTAGTCGCAAAGATGACTTAATAAAAGGGCCCGGCATGACCAGGTGGTTAGGGCACTTGACTCACAATCTGCGGGTCGCGGGTTCGAATCCCCGTCACACCAAACATGCTCGCCCTTTCAGCCGTGGGGGCGTTATAATGTGACGGGCAATCCCACTATTCGTTGGTAAAAAAGTAGCCCAAGAGTTGGCGGTGGGTGGTGATGACAAGCTGCCTTCCCTCTAGTCTTACACTGCTAAATTAGGGATAGCCCTCGTGTAGCTTTGCACGAAATTCATAACAAACCAACAATAACTAAGCCGAGTGTGATCCAATGGATAGCGTATTGAACCGTGGATTTGCGGGTCCCGTTACCATAAAAATAATTGACCGTAACAAACGGTCATCGTATCGTGGAACTGTATATTTCACTAATAACTGATCATCACACACTTTCATAGTAACATAAGAAAAGTTCAATAATCCCGAATATTCTTGGTTTTATCGTAATTATCTGGTAACTTCAAAGGCACCGGTTTGCCCTACTTGCTCATGATTGGTTTTTTCAAAGTTAACATATTATATCAGTCTTGATTTATGATAAACTGATTAAAAGCAGAAGAAGATCTAATAATTATGATAAATGTTAGAACTCCTTTATTTTAAAACTGGCCTTGACAAACACTAACATTTGAGTTTGAGAGTAATATATACTTTATAGTTTAGAAACATTTCGTTTCATTACACTAATAAGTTACACTAATTCCTTTTTGTAACTTATAATCATATTGAACTATAAAAATGCATTTACGATACCACAAAACCATAATTTTACAGTAATATAATAATCTTATTAATTACATCCTTACAAAAGCGTGATAAATAGGGGGAAACTCACATGAATTCTAACACTACGATTAAAATACATCTTAACTTTGGTAACTTTGGTTATTACCATTAAATGAGATATAAAAAAAAGTGTTTAATTTGTGTTTCTTACCCCGTGGTCCATTAATGTCATCTGGATCCAGTGAGGGACTATGACGGCGAATCAAAAAAGCTCTAGGCATGTCTAGTTTGATTGGTGGTCAAGAACGAGATGTGAACGTTTTAACTTGAAAGAGAAGATTGGTCTGATGAGCTAAGGGCTGTGACTCTTTAAAACCTCGGCAAAGACCGGAGTCAAGGAGGGAAGGAATTGCGGGAGGGAAAGGGAGAGGGAAGAATGGACGATGTGGGTCAGGTTACCAGAAGCTAAAACCCATGTGGCCGCCAGAGATAATTTTTTTTTTTGCTCGTCAGAAGATAAGCTAACAAGTGGCTGGAGTTCTTGATGAAGAGAAAGTTAACAATGATGACCTTTGGAAAGTCTACTCTTGTTGGTTTTCTCACACCTGGTTCTCAGAAATCAGTGACTGTATATTTTGCAAAGTACAACTACAGCATATAACGGTAAAACGACTGAAGAAATATTTGCTGATCGCCTTGCCAACCTACGTACACTATGCACTACTGGAGCGTTTATCTAAAAGAAAAAAAATAAGTGGATGTTGTCGACGGATCAACCAATCCACATGCAGCATCTTTCAGCGTTTGGCAGTCTGCCTGGAGGAGGAGGAAGACGAAAATAGCTCAGTGTAGTACTTCTCCTTTTCATCCCCTTCTCGGACTCAGGTCTCCTCCGTTGCAACCAGTCTTCTACACCACAGGGGGAGGGGGTGGTTATGGATCAAATTTTCTTTTTCGAAACTACACTTATCGCTGCACAGGCCGAGATACATGTTTTTAACTGCACCTTCTAGATAAAATTAGTTCAACGACACACCACATTCTATGCGAACACTGCGCACTAGTTAGTTACGAAAAATTACTTTTCAATGCCAAACACACGTGGAAACTTTAAAATAGGGTTACAACATTTCTGAGTTGAACTCTAAAATGTAAAAGATGCAAATAAGCTGAGGATATCTTTATCTGTAAATACTTTTGTAAATAACAAACAGCGAGATGAACATGGAGCTTGAAATTTAAAAATTCGAATCTTGAAGTCAGCTACTGATGTTTAAAAAGACAACGGCGTGGAAAAAACACACGATCGATTGGTTAATACTTAACGTTGCCACTAGAGGACAGTAAAGTCGAGAAACAAGCAAGCTATTACAGTTCTATTCTACTCGTGAGCATGCTCTTAAATAAATACTTAAAACACAAATAAGTTTTTTGTCTAGAAGTTGCTACATAATAAAAAGGCAAGCCAAGTAAACCTTATATGACATATAGCATTCAATAGCCAATGAAAGCTAATATAAATCCCATTATCTACAAACAGATACAGGGTGAGGCAAAAACCCACTTGCCATAACGATTTTATTCTGCATTAGAATGTACTGTTAAAATATTAACAGTTAACCTAATTTTCCTGTCAATGATTAATGCCTTTTCATATTTATTTCAATTTGAATACATGAAGATTTAAAATAAATAGTATTTCGCAAGATTTGGGGCATGTCAATTCTTCTTCACCTTGTCTAGGGAACGGAGAATATAAAACATTTTTGTTTGGTATCTTCTTTTTTGTTTGGATGAGACAGTTATTTTTAAAAAATGCTGTTTTATCTAAGAATATATTTTTAAATTCTGATGTTTTATCTAAGAATATATCTTTAAATTCTGATGTTTTAGCTAAGAATATATCTTTAAATGCTGATGTTTTAGCTAAGAATATATTTTAAATTCTGATGTTTTATCTAAGAATATATCTTTAAATGCCCCCCAGTGGCACAGCGGTATGTCTGCGGACTTACAACGCTAGAATCCGGGTTTCGATACCCGTGGTGGGCAGAGTACAGATAGCCGATTGTGTAATTTTGTGCTTAATTACAAACAAATAAATATCTTTAAATGCTGATGTTTTATCTAAGAATGTATCTTTAAATGCTGTTTTATCTAAGAATATATCTTTAAATTCTGATGTTTTATCTAAGAATAAGTCTTTAAATTCTGATGTTTTATCTAAGAATATATCTTTAAATTCTGATGTTTTATCTAAGAATATATCTTTAAATTCTGATGTTTTATCTAAGAATATATCTTTAAATTCTGATGTTTTATCTAAGAATATATCTTTAAATTCTGATGTTTTATCTACGAATATATCTTTAAATTCTGATGTTTTATCTACGAATATATCTTTAAATTCTGATGTTTTATCTAAGAATATATCGTTAAATGCTGATGTTTTAAAAGAACTTCAAGTAAACTTTACTTCTATTTGACGATTTCTTTTTAACAAGGATAAACAACCACCTCAAGTTATTCAAATTTAGATGATATTTCTAACAATGATAAACCCAAGTTATGCGAATTTAGGTGATATTTCTAACAATGATAAACAACCACCAAAAGGATGGCGAATTTAGATGATATTTCTAACAATGATAAACAACCACCCAAAGGATGGCGAATTT